GGATTTCCATCATGTCCATGCTGCTCGAGGTTGTGCGGCTTGTCAGAGAGTGTGTGAAACCTTAACCCGAAAGCCTAAACCCGATGCTAAACTCAATCCTGGATCCTTAAACCCAGACCTTTGCGAAAACCTGAAACCCAAACGGCTAAGGTTTGGGGGTTTAGGGGCAAACACTGCACCCTAGAGCGCAACGAGACCCTAAATTCAGATACAAGGGTTTGAATGTAGGGTTCGGGACCGGGCAGTCTCTGTGTTGATTCTGAAATGCTTTTTGGACAGTGGCCTTGAGTTTCAAGTCTCTCTAGTTCCCAAACCCTAATTAAGCCTATAAACCCTAAGCCCAAAACTTTGCAGGCAAAAGCCGCAGACCGTAAGCTTGGCCTGAAGCCACCTGAAGCGCCAAGCCGTAAACCCAAATGTTGATTTGGCTGCTTGAAGTCTCTGTAGGTCGAGCGCTGCCTGGGCCGTGCAGGGAGCCCAGGTAAGATCTTATGGTGGGAGGCTAATGTCGAGTTCTATTCGAACGATTGACAGTATTAACACCCGTGTAGTGGTTTGATAATGTTGCTTAGTCAGGCTTTCAGAGAGTTTCTGCAGGGGCCCGATTATATGCGTGTTTTTATCGGGATATACTTGCAGACTTGTTTTGCACAGCCCCTAGAGGCCTTATCGGGGCTTTATCGGGACATACTTGGAGGCTATGGCCTAAGCCCTAAACCCTAAACTCGCTCTTGGGCTCGGTGGAGCCTGTGGGCAAAACTCCGATGAGGCTGAAGGGACCAAAGAGAAGACGAAAGCGAAGGACGAGAAGAAGGTTTAGGGTTCAGGGTTTAGGGTTTAGGGTTTAGGGTTCAGGGTTCAGGGTTTAGGGTTCAGGCTTTAGGGCTTCGGGTTTGCGATGTTCATTGCGAAGTGACAAACAAACAGCCACGGCTGCGCATCAAAAAGATGACTCAAGCTTGCTGTCCTGCGCAGTTCGTTCAAGTGTGAGCAAGGTGAACTATGGTGCCATATGTGCAATCCAAAATCCAAATTAAGGATTGCAAGACGTGGAACTGATATTCAGACAGTATTAGCCCACTATTAGTATGATATCGGTTTAGCAGCATAGGGGTGCGGTCGCAGGGGTCCCTCTCCGAACGCTTTGATATTGCGACTTGCCATACCTAGGTTATTTGCGCTGCGCAGCCCTATGCCCATTCCCATAACCGATCGTGCCGATCTGACCTACCAAGTTACAAGAGCGCGCAAGCGGGATTTTGAGATTTGGGGTGTCGGGGCGGAGTGTCTACTGTTGGGATGTGAGGTTATTTAAGTTTTACTGCTCATGATCACCCCTGCACCCCCACTGCCAGCTACACCCAGAGCGAGAGCTGCCCAATGTGAGAAGACAGTCATCCAGCAGCCAAGAAGCGAGTAGCGTCCCCTGAGCCCTCGAACCTATATATTGGCCCCCCCCCCCCCCCCCCCCCTCCCCCCTGAAATGGGCCAAAATGTCGTGCCGTCGTCTCGCCTCCGATAGGAAGCC